ATCGAATAATTATTTGAGTTGTACACAAAATGAAGAAAGACTGAGTGCTCTAGCTTTAATACATAACCATTAAGACACTGCTATCAACGTTGAAACTATATGTAAATTATTTATGGAAAAGCACCCCAGAAGAATGGAGCATGCTAACATGTTATTTCAGTAGTGCATACATGTACGTATATATTAACCAATGATTGAAATAGCTAATATACTATTGTTGTAAAGATTATTTAAGTTAGTAATATAATTTAATAATTAATAACTACTCTGAAATGTAGAGAGAGTACAGTACTTTACTATAAAAACATACAAATTTATGCTAATTTAAGTCTAGCTCCCCATGTAGTATTACAACAGAATTATGATTTGTTGACTTTTCATTGGATATTTGTGGATTTTATGTGAACAGCCATGCAACTGTTTAAGCTATATTTCATGCAAAATTCTGGTAAGGGGGCCTCCCCCCCCCCATAGCATTAGCATGCTTTGCGTGCTGATTATGCTTCGCACAATATGTGTTGGCTTTTGATTTCACAATTTATAACCTCCCCCCCTTTCAAAAGTTCTGCGTACGGGCCTGCTAATGAGGCCTATATTACTTGCTATTCCAAGCAACACAGATGAGCTATGAACTTAGTCTGCTGCAGCGGAAGAAACAAATCAAACAAAAGAAACAATCTTTTCTTCACTATAATTAACGTTTTGGTGAGGAAAATAAATACCCAAATAAACAATTTCTATATTCTATCAGATAAAATTTGGGGACAGCTATAAGTAGATAACTCTTTTTTTTTTCTATATTGGAGTTTAAACTATATTGTGAAATATTACACTATAATATCGAAAACACTGAGATGAAAGGAACAGTGACAGAAGTATGTATTCAACTTACCATTTTGAGAGTTTATGTTAGTGCCGCGCAATAACATGTATCTTTTCCTTCTAGAAGCCATCTGAAAGATTTGGAGACTAGAATAAAAGTGTACAAATGCTGCTTTTTATCCAAAAAAGTGTTATTACTATCACATAAATTGTTATTTCCTACATATCGTAATTGTTATTTCCTACAATATTTTCGTAACGTGGAAAGTTAGCTATGACTGTTCTTCACGGGTTTGTCTGACTGACTATCAAAATATAATTTATTTTTCGAGAATGTTTTTCTCTTACACTTGTTTTTCATCAATCATTTATGGAGCTAAGTTTATTACTTCTATTCCGTTTATGGCCCCTGAAAGAAGTCATATAACCAGAAAGTGTGTCAAACGGAGTGGTATTCTAGAGATAGCTACTTGGTAGGGGAAGAGTTTCAGTGGGTTTTTTTTCTGACGTTACTCAACGATACCTCTTGCTTATGTTCAGACATTTTTTATCTAGTGGCTTATCGATATATGCAAGGCTTATAACGCTAAAATTCGGGATTATATCCCTCCAATGGGTACAGCACAGATAGTCCATTGTGCAGCTTTGGCCTTAAAAAACATACAACACCAAAAGAAAATCTTAGAACATTTTATAACTCAATATTTTCTCATTTATCATCTTAGTTGCTAAAATATGAAATAAAATGTTTCTAAACCAAAAAAAACAACAACAACAAACAAACAAAACGTATTGATGCTATTGTTTGTAATTAAGCACAAAGCTACACAATGGGCTATCTGTGCTCTGCTCACCACGGGTATCGAAACCCGGATTCTAGCGTTGTAAGTCCGCAGACATACCCCTGTGCCACTGGGGGAGGGGGCTGATGCTTTTGTACAGAAATGATAGATTTGACATTAAACATTCTTGTGTCGTCTTTCTTATGACTTTATGAAATTATCGTCTCCATTTTTGTTGTGTTTGCTCTTTTTTTACTGTTGAAACCAACATATTTCAATAACTCTTTATTTTCTTGCATTATTTATTAATAAAATTTTATTTCCCCCACACTCTCGCATATTACTGTAGGATTAGCCCTTCTTTTGCTGTAATTTTACGATACTGAGATTCTGATACTCAACAATATTATCATTTATCAGTCTGGAAGTCTCCGATATTCTCGGGTAACAAACGTAATGTTTTTGCTAAATCTAGAGGCCTCTGATTTTATAAGGTACCAGATGCCATGTTTTCACTAAGTCTGGATGTCTTTCGTTTTTGTCAGGTGTATTTTCTTAAAATTTGAATACATTAAGAGATTCGTCAAATTTGAAGTTGTATTTTTCGTTCCTGTTGATTTAAAGATGAATGTTTTATTCCTGTTAACCTGAATTTGATTATATTTCTGTTAACCTGAAGTTGAGTATATTTTTCACCCCTGTTAACGTGTGGTTGAACATTTTACTCCTTCTAACTTGAAGGTTAATGATTTTATTCCAGTTAAATTAAAAACTTAGTGTTTTTCATTCCTGTTAGGTTGAAGTTGATTGTTTCTTTATTCCCTATTAGCTAGAAGTTCAAAAACTTTTCTTTTGTTTTCTCCAGGTCCAATACCTTATAGAAGGCCCTCACAACCAGTAAGTATCTCTGGATTTAAACACCAGAGGTCACAGTCGCTTGTGTCTGGACAAGGTACAATGTTTGGCATTTATCGTTCCCCACGTGTAGAACCTTCACACTATCAACATCTGTCCGAACCAATAATTTCTTTGTGTGATGACCAAGGTCAAATTAAAAAACAGGATAACTTGTCGCCCCAGGAAAGTCCTACCTCGTACCGTTCTGTACAGAATAGCAACATATACCTGGATGATGGTCAGGGTCAAGTTAAAAGTCCTATCTTGTACCGTTCTGTACAGAACAGCAATGTATACCAGGATGACTACCAGGAAGACTATACCCAAGACGAGATAAATGAATGCTATAATGTCAATGTAAAAGCTCCAAAAGAGGTCATTGTTGCAAATTTTCATGATTTTTGTCAGACGATGTTATCAGTAGATAACGTAGATGAACAGAATTTTGGAAACAACTCACAACCTAGCGATCCTCCAAGAAAAGGGACGTGTTTGTATGTTACGACGAATCCGAAACCTGTACCTTTCAAGAACATTAACGGAGATAATCAAAGTTACCAGTCAAAGGAAAACGAGCGTTTAACCAACGAGGAACAATTATACAACACCGAGAGCCAAACCATTGTAGAAAGCAACAGTGGTAGCCAGGCGAAGAACCAATCACTTCGAAGTGAAGCATCGAAGGATGAAGAGGCTTTACACAGTGACCTTAAGATGAACTATTTTACCAATAAGGGTAAGGTGGAAGTTACATCGAATGTTGTTCAACCTGAATCTTCCTCCTCTCCTCATAGTTCAAAAATCGTTAAAGAAATGGTGAAAAAGATGGCTAGCCACCCAAACGGTGGAAATGATGAATTTGTATTACTAAGAAGATATGATCAGTGCTCTAAAAAGGAACAAGGAAGAGGTGAAACAGGAGCATTAACTAGTATTGAACATCTAGAGAAAACTACTAATGAGATCCTACAACCGTCCAATGAAGGAGCCTCAAACAGACTATATTTTACATCAAATCATAACCTGTCTCTCATGGAGACTAACAAAGGACCGAGTATCATAGACCACGAAGCTCAGACGGATAACTTAATTGAAGAAATATACATTCCTTTAAGCAGTAAAAAAAGTCCCAGTAGAGTAAGTTATCAGGAAATAGAGAATCCAAGCTTTTGTAACCATCAAACTGAACCTTCAAGATTTGAACAAACAGAGCCTACAAACATTAAACGACTGAATGCGAAATTTCGTAGAAGAACGATTGATACATCAGATCCTAACCAGGCAGCTCGTGCAGTAGGTCTCAGAAGAAATAGTGACCTAACAAAAAGTCTTGAAGAACAAGATACCAGAATAGAGATTTTGCAGGAACCAGATTCTTTTACAAATCCCAATGTGATAAACAATGACACATCGCCACCAATTCCACCAAACACATCATCTTTACCCGAGAAGTCAAGTGATATTAAATCACTTAATGGTGAGGTTCCTTTTTATAACTGAGATGTTTATTTTCCCTTTTGTAATTGAGATATTTCTATTATGAAATTTCTGATGAAATCCGTTGGACGTTATTTGGTACTTTTTTTTATTAAATAAAACATTGTAAAGCCAACATGACAGCTAAATTTTGAAGTTCAAGGAAGTTCTGAACAAATAATAAACGCTTTTTAACTCATATTTAGCCGCGGCATAGCGACTTATAGAATGGTTCAGAGTTATTCATCTAAGTACAAACTTTTAGCTCATAGCTCCATCTCTTGACTTATTTGAGATCGAATTACAGCCGCAGCTAATAAGGATTCCCTCTTGTATAGCTTAAACTGTTCAATATTAATGGTTTTATCGACACTTCCAGCTTCAGGCAACCTTTGAAGTAAATTGTTTTGTCACTACAGTTAAAACGAAAAGAAAATATAAACTATTTAATAATTTGAGATTTAACTTCTAGCTGTGTAGGATCACAGTGTTGGTAAGTTATCCCAGAATTATAAATCATATCGTACGTCATTTTGTGTTTTACATCTATACGATGGTTTATTTAACTTTAGGAAGTTCGTGTATCACAACCTTCAACTCTGACAAATATGAGGCTGATGTGACTCCGTTGAACGGAGATTTCTTTAACGGCACAGATTTGGTGGATTCCGGCACGAGCTCTCAACAGCAAGGACACTTTGTGGTGGTGGCTATAGACTTTGGTACCACGTACAGCGGATACGCCTTCAGCTTCATCCGGGATCCTTCCAACATTCACATGATGAGGAAGTGGGAAGGTGAGCTTTTTCAGCTTCTTATCTAGTTTGAAAACAACTAAGTCATCAGAAAATGAGTTACACTTAGCTTAGAGGCATAACACTTTATTTGAGAGGAAATTGAAAGGTTAGCTTCTTAAATTCCTTTCGACTTTGATATACAGAGCAAGGTCATCAGGGCATGAGATGGTCTTAGCTAAGAACTATAACTTAGATTATCAGGGGCAAATCTGTAACTTGTTACTAGACAAATCTGTAACTTAAGAGTTAATGTTGAAAAACTGAATCAAATCTAACGACTTAATATTACTTTAATGAAAGGGTTACTAGACAATAGTTTACTTTAACTTGGAGATTTTTTGTCATTCTTTACATACACACTCTACCCTTTTTATCGAAAAGATTTTAAAAACAACAATTTCTTTTCTGTAAAATTATCATTCAGACATGGCTAAGTGATTTGATATATTTTGTTTCACAAGTTATTTAATAGAGTTTGTATTTATCTTATGATCACCACGACTGTCTCTTTCAATAATTATCAGTTTTAAGTGTTGATTTTCTTAAAAAAATTATATTCTACTCGTAAAGAGTGTTTTTGACCATTGTTTGTTCAAAAGCCTAAAGTTGCTTTTCATTTAATAACTTTCAATAGGTGGCGATCCCGGTGTACCCAACCAGAAAACGCCCACCACTTTACTTCTGACACCTAGCGGCGAGTTTCATTCCTTTGGTTTTTCAGCGCGAGATTTTTACCACGATTTGGATGTAGAAGAAGCCAAAAGGTGGTTTTATTTGGAAAAGTTCAAAATGACGCTTCACCACCAAGAGGTGTGAACATAATTATTTCAACTTCGTGAAAAGTCGTCAGCCTTGGGGGCATTATAATATAAAGGTCAATAGTTACCACTATTCGTTGGTAAAAGAGTAACCCAAGAGTTGGCGGTGGGTTGTGATGACTAGCTGCCTTCCCTCTAGTCTTTCACTGCTAAATTAGGGACGGCTAGCGCAGATAGCCCTCGTGTAGTTTTTGTGCGAAATTTAAAACAACCAACCAATATTGCAGATACCTCTCATCTGGTTCCAACGTTTTGTTTTTACTTATAAAAAGTTGGACACACAAATCATATTTGTGGGGAACAACAGATCTAAAAGTACGTTAATCTAGCTTTAAAAATATATTATTTTATAGTTTAGTTTTAAACACACTTGAACATTTAAGAACACTGGAGATGGAGCGATAACAGTAATCGAGTAGCTCATGTGATTATTCTTAGAGGGCGTATATAGTCCAGTCAGATTAAGATGGGTTTTACTTGGCAACACTGGAGATGGAGCGATAACAGTAATCGAGTAGCTCATGTGATTATTCTTAGAGGGCGTATATCATCCAGTCAGATTAAGATGGGTTTTACTTGGCATTTATATAAGTTTCAACTGTCTTCTTCAAACCTAGAAAAAATTGACAGAGTATAACCTTTCTAGAAGTTTTTGTTTGGTTAGCAAGAATGTAGAAACAAAAATTGAGCTCAGCGTCTGTTCTTTCTTTACTGATATTGATGAAGCTCAGTGCTAAAATAACCAAATTTTCTTCCGATTTTCAGAATTTAAGTCTAGAGACACCCATCGAGGCAGCTAATGGTAAAACCATGCCAGCAGTGACAGTTTTCGCACACGCTCTTCGCTATTTCAGAACGCACGCTCTGGAAGAACTAAGTGACCAGACAGCTACCGAAATAGTGAATGAAGACATTCGTTGGGTGGTGACTGTTCCTGCCATCTGGCGGCAGCCAGCGAAACAGTTTATGCGAGCTGCGGCTTATGAAGTATGTAAATAGAGATGTTATCGACACTATATTTACATCAATAAATGTAGTTTGTACACTATATGTTTCTCTTTTATTCTTATTGCTATTGCTTTATTAGCTAACATAGGTTTAGCGGATAATAATAGCGAGAAAAAAATACTTAGATGAAAAAGATGCAAGTATTTGTAAATATTGTTATAACATATTTAATAAATATTAATTTCAAAATATAATATTGTTACCTAAGCTGGTAGCTGTAAGAATTAATATTATTTATTTTCTCATATTGCTACTAGGCTGGTACAGATAACAATGAATATGATTTTAAATATGTTGTTACTAGGCTGGAATAGATAACAATGAATATTGTTTTCAACATATTGTTAATAAGCTGGTATAGAAAACAATTAATATTGTTTTTAACGTATTGTTACTAGGCAGGTATAGATAACAATGAATATTGTTTTTAGCATATTGTTACTAGGCAGGTATAGATAACAATGAATATTGTTTTTAACATATTGTTACTAGGCAGGTATTGATAACAATGAATATTGTTTTTAACATATTGTTACTAGGCTGGAAAAGATAACAATGGGAATTGTTTTCAACATATTGTTACTAGGCTGGTATAGATAACAATGATTATTGTTTTAACACATTGTTACTAGGCAGGTATAGTTAACAATGAATATTGTTTTTAACACATTATTATTAAGCTGGTATAGATAACAATGATTATTGTTTTAACACATTGTTACTAAGCTGGTATAGATAACAATGAATATTGTTTTAACACATTGTTACTAGGCTGGTATAGATAACAATGCATATTGTTTTTAACATATTGTTACTAGGCTGGTATAGATAACAATGAATATTGTTTTTAACACATTATTATTAAGCTGGTACAGATAACAATGAATATTGTTTTTAACATATTGTTACTAAGCTGGTATAGATAACAATAAATATTGTTTTTAACATATTGTTACTGGGGTATACGTAACATTTAATATGTTTTTCATCAAATTGTTACCTGAGCTGTTGTAATTTTCTATTTTCAGAATACATAGTGCAGACTGAAGTGTCATAGACATTTTGTGGATAAAACGACCCTTATTTCCACTAAGCCTTCTTTTCAGCTACAACATTTGATCAAACTGAAAGGTCGTTTTATTCACAACAATAAATACCATTTTAAGAACGCTACCACGTGGATTGTTGTAGCTACAATATTATTATTGCTCTGTGCAAGTTATCCTAATCTATATTACATATCTATGGAGGTTATCATCATCTATATTACATATCTATGAAGGTTATCCTAATCTATATTACATATCTATGGAGGTTATCATCATCTATATTACATATCTATGCAGGTTATCCTCATCTCTTTACATATCTATGGAGGTTTTCATCATCTATATTACATAACTATGGAGGTTATCCTCATCTATATTGCATAACTATGCAGGTTATCATCATCAGTCTATTTCACATAACTCTATAGGTTATTCTCCTCAGTATAACTGGGAATAAATTTTTTTCCAGGCTGGTATAGGATCTCCCGATCATCCGGAACAACTCCTGATAGCCCTGGAACCCGAAGCAGCTTCCATCTATTGCAGAAAGCTCCGAATGCACCAATTAGTTCCCGAAGTTCCTGGCCAGCGACGTCTTTCTATGAAGCAAGAAGAGTCGCTTGAAGAAACTAGCGCACTAGCAGTGGTTGAAACTGAGGGTAATTAAAATCGTCTCTGTCAGTCGAAAAGCTAATCAGTGAATTCCTAACGAAATATTCTGTGTCCCATTGTGTATATTCTTTATTTAAATTTGTCTTTCTAACAGCATTGCTATTTGTATAACTTTTATTAATTCGAGTCCCAGTAGCAACTTTAACATTTCAGGTTCCAAGATAATGTCCCATCTTAATGATGTCCCCGCTAATTCCTTTTGTGGAGGTGTAGCAGTCTGTAACTTAATTAACGGTGCTTGTAAGTTAGCCACAATCTTTCTGTTTGTAGTTTTTCTTCCAACATCTAACCATTATTGTATTCTGTTTTGTAATCCTGTTCTACTACTTCCTATGATTGATAAATAAACCAGTCAGACTAAAAATAGGTTGTAATTTATATATATAAATCGTTTGGTGAGGGCGTATTGATAGTACTTGAACTTTACGGGCGATGAGTTGGTTCTCTTTTTGGTTTAAGTGACAGACTATTAACCTCTAAACCTTTGTTTCTGGAATGTCATTGGTAGATTAGATGGATCTGGTTCATCATTGGCCGATGAGATGGTTCTGAGTTTAGTTTCAATAGCAGTATATAAATGCTAATCTCCAAACCCCTGTCTCTGGAATGTCATTGGTAGATATAAGATGGATCTGGTTTTTCATTGGCTGATGAGATGGTTCTGAGTTTAGTTTGAATAACAGTTGATGAATGCTAATCTCCAAATCCCAGTCTCTGGAAGCTCATTGGTGGATTAGATGGTTTAAATAACAGTTGATGAATGCTACTCTCCAAACCCCTGTCTCTGTTGGATGAAGACTTCAGTGTTGTTAGAGGAAGTTTGATCTTCCTCGGTTTAAAAAACTTAGTTGAACCTCTAATTCATGATGTTAGAAAAACAAGTGGATTCAAATGTCAGCTAAAGACAAATACAAAAACCTATAATTCGAGAGCTTTCGAAAGGTAGACCATCTTCATCTTAGATAAACTGAGAATGTCTTAAGATTGTAATTGTCTCAGTTGGTAAATATCCGGTTACAAAAATATTCTGCAGTTTTATGTTCTCATTACTCTTGTTTTGTCTTTGTGTTCTTACCCCCTAAATTTCGTACTAGTGTAGGTGAAGGGAACATTTGTCACAGATCAAGTATCACCAACCAATCACACACCCTATCAACAGATCCTAACCAAACGTTTTATGTACAAAGTGCAACCAATTCTGATTGGAAGGCGGAGGACTTCTGAAACATTTCCACTTATGCCTTCTTTATTGAAACTCCATCAGTAAGGCAACTGGTGTTTTAGTAAATTTCTAATAGTATGTAAGGCTGTTAGTGACCACTTTAGTTTTTGTTTCAGTTTGCTGTTTAATCAGTAGTTTTCAAAACTTGTTAATTATGCAATCTTTAGTTAGAATTGCTTATCAGTAATGTTGCATTCTCTAATTCATGAAGAAAAACTCATGTTGCTTTTGTGTATTCAACGTTGTTTCGATCCCATTGAATACAAGAACAATATAATACTTAAAAATATGTCCATACAAAAAGTGGTTTATTTAAAATGGAGCCAAGCCAATCTAGAATCGAGGTAGTATTCTTGTGTACTTTATTTATGGAATCGATATGGAATTTTTAACTACTCCATCTATGGAACCAATATAGAGTTCTTGGGTTCTCCATCCATGGAACCAGTCTAGAATATTTAGCTAATCCATCTATGGAACCGATCTGGAATCTTTAAGTACTTCAGCCATGTAACACAAAAAGAAACTGGTTTGAGAATACTTCATAAAATAATTTGGACACCATGCTTGTGGATATCTAATACTTAGGAAAAGCGATTACGTAGCAATTTTTAATAGTATCGGAATCTGGGCTTCTTAATTAATAGACTGACTACTACACCTTCAAACGTATGATGCAAAAGAGGTTCATTTCCATGATCCTTTTGTTATTAAGAAAATAATTCACAGCATGTGATTGTGTTGAAGAACTTAACACTGTTTAATCTGTATTTGATATTTTATTGTTTGCGGCGCCAGGCACACGATACATGGTGGTGGACTGTGGGGGAGGAACTGTGGACATCACGGTCCATGAGCTCCAGAATCAACAAGGAACTCTGAAGGAGCTCTACAAGGCTACAGGTGGTCCTTATGGCTCTGTTGGAGTTGACCAAGAATTCGAGAAACTTCTTAATGACATTTTTGGTGCTGACTTTGTTGAAGAATACAAGATGAGGAGACCAGCTGGATATGTCGACCTCATGGTCGCATTTGAAGCTAGGAAGAGAAATACTAGTCCTTTTAATAGTAACCCACTTAATATATCTCTACCATTTTCCTTCATCGATTTTTATAAGAAGTACAAAAACAGCTCGGTAAGTTTCCTAGCAAATAGAAACATCAATATAATTTTATACTAATCTAAGCTTATTTCATGGACTTGCTAGTATAAACAGTTTCTACAGACTTTTTCCTTATAGAAATTTTAATGGAAAGCTCAACATACATCAGAAGAAGTGAAAACTGAGAGTGAATGGGATTCGAACCCTCAACTTTTCATACCAGGCACATGCTTTAGCCAACTATGCTAACTGGTATAGCTCGAGATGCACGAGCTTAGCTGGTAAGCAAAGTCACTGGTTGAAACCTCGCTTACTCTCAATTTTCTCTTCATCAGAGAAATTCTACGAGTAAGTTTAGCATATCTGTTTCCAGTCCATTATAACACTCAAAATAACTACTTTTCTATAGATTTTTATCTTGATATCCTAAGTTGAAGCTTGCCGGTTTTCAATATTCCTATAGCAAAGGCAGTGCCATATTTTTATCATTGACAATGTTTTTCATGTTTTTAGGTGGAATCGGCTCTCAGAAAATTCAGCCAGAAAAGTATTAAGTGGTCATCTCAAGGAATGCTTCGACTTGAACCATCTGCCATGATGAATCTTTTTCAGCCTACCGTCCACCACATTAGACAACAAATTGCCAATATACTGAACAACCCAAATATTGGAGCCATAGATTATATCTTCCTGGTTGGTGGATTTGCCGAGTCCCAGATTTTGCAGAAAGAGATCCGTGATAATTTCTCTCCCCGTTTGAAGGTAATCATTCCTCAAGGGGTAAGTCTCGCTATCGTCAAGGGAGCGGTTTTATTTGGGTTGGATCCTACCATTGTCAAGGTGCGACGTTCTAGGATGACTTATGGGGTTGGTGTTCTCAATCGTTTCATTCATGGAGTTCATCCTCCCGACAAGCTAGTAGTCAAGGATGGTGTTGAATGGTGTGCCGACGTCTTTGATAAATTTGTCATTTGTGACCAGTCTGTGGGTCTGGGAGATGTTGTTATCAGAAGTTATACCCCAGCAAAAGCTGGCCAATCATGCAGTGTCATCCACATTTATAATAGTGAGCGAGACGACACGAATTTTATTACAGACCTAGGGGTCAAGAAATGCGGTTCTCTGATCCTGGATCTCTCCGATCCCAAACACCTATCTGGTGTTCTTCATCGTCGAGAGATTCAGACAAGAATGGTGTTTGGTGACACAGAGATAAAGGCCACTGCACTGGACGTAGCAACTGGCACCTGCGTCAAAGCTGACATTGACTTTCTCAATCATTAAAGTATTTAGTAGGGCGAGCTATGGAGCTCACAAGTGTGTAATGTTGTAAGGTCTTCTACAGAAATAAGATGCTGTTTTCTGTTGCTGAATCTGTGAGAAATTTACATTTTGTACGAGCGTTGTTCAGTACATTATTATTAGTTGTTTCTGTTATCATAACTAAATGTGAAAGTAAGTTTGGAGGTTTATGTACAGAGACGTTCCATTAAAGCATTTAGAATCATACTAGCTATGAACAATACGATAACCGAATAATATTTTGTTGTAGTTATTAAGCAGAGTGTTGGAAGAGATCTT